CAAAATGTATTATACTGCATGACATGTCCAAAAAGAAACATATTATTTACCTGACTTATGTAACTGTAAGCCTTTTGTACATCACCTTTATAATAACAAGAAAAATATTAAAGACGTATTATAAAATGACATGTTGAATGGGAACTCCATTGTAAAACGACTTAAAGATAATGAAGATCTAATTTCTTAAGATAACGAAGATATCATTTCTTTTCTTTTCTTTCTTTTTTGCCAGTCCTGAGGCTTAAACTCAGAGACTGGGCACTGTCCCTGAGCTTCTTTTGCTCAAGGCTAGCACTCTACCACTTGAGCCATAGCGCCACTTCTGGCTTTTTCTGTTTATGTAATACTGAGGAATCAAACCCAGGGCTTCATGCATGCTAGACAAGCACTCTACCACCAAACCACATTCTGAGCCCCTAAAAATATAATTTCTAAAGATAAACCAAGCTGCTTTTGTTCTGGTCACATACTAGGTATCATGAGAGTTCCAGCTTTACCCAGGGAGGTGGTGGTGGTGGTGGTGGTGGTTTTGTTACTCTGCAATCACTGTACCAAGTATAATTAGCCTGCAATCACTGTACCAAGTATAATTAGCCTTGTGGGTAATTTTATGTTCTTGTTCTTATTTGATTTGAAAAAAGAATTGCTAGTCTACAGTTTCTCATAATTGGGAAGACATTTGGAAGAGACATTATTGCCATAAAATAGTCCCTTTGGGGGATGGGAAGGAGGCTCAGTGGTAGAGTAGTTGCTTTGCATGCATAAGGCCCTGAGTTCAATTCCTTAGTACCACATAAGCATAAAAAGCTGGAAGTGGTGCTGTGGCTCATGATAGAGCGCTAGCCTTGAGCTGAAGAGCTGAGGGACAGTGCAGCCCAGAGTTGAGGCCCCATGACCCACAAATAAAATAGTTCCTTTTGAAGCCCACTTTAATAACCCAGCAAGTTGCATGTTTTCTTTGATTCATGTACACACAGCAGTGAGGGAAAGTAAGGGAAAGGAGGGAAAATGTTATCAGATTATTTGAACCAATTTTGAAATTATGAAATATGAGACTGTCCAGCTAACTTCAAAAGGAAAATGGATGATTATTAAAACCCAGGCTTGGAGCATTGGGGAAACTTATGTGGGTGACATAGAAGGACTTGAGCACATTTCAGTTGCATGTTTAATGATAGGGTTAGTACAAGAAGTGCAAAGTCTGTCTATTCTTATAAAAATATTGAATTTCCACAAAGATAAGATGCATCACATATAATATATTCATGACTTTAAATGCATGCTAAAAACACTGTAAGAAATATATCTCCAATCCTAGAGATAAACAGAGGAAGGAAGCAAGGAAGGAAGGAAGGAAGGAAGGAAGGAAGGGAAAGAAAGGAAGAAAGAGAGAGAGAAAGAAGAAAGGAAGGAAGGAAGGAAGGAAGGAAGGAAGGAAGGAAGGAAGGAAAGATATTAACTTGGTATTATGGTGTATTCTTATAATCCCAGCTAGGAAGACAGAAGGAGGAGGATCACAGCCCAAGACCAGCCAGGGAAAACAGTGAAGACCCTATCTTAAAAAAAACTTGGTTTTCTTGCCCAGCAAACTCAAAGCCCTGAATATAAAATCCCACTGCCATCAAAATAAAGAGAGAAATAAAAAACTCATAACACTATAGTCACTGAGGTACAGGATATGGCTGCTCAGAAAAAAGAATAACCTTTTTCCTCAGTGAGACCCGATTTCTTTTTTTGGGGGGGGGTCCAATCGTGGGGCCTGAACTCTGGGCCTGGGCACTGTCCCTCAGCTCTTCAGCTCAAGGCTAGCGCTCTACCATTTGAGCCACAGCACCACTTCCGGCTTTTTTCTTTCTGTTTATGTGGTGCTAAGGAATCGAACCCAGGGCCTCATGCATGCAAGGCAAGCGCTCTACCACTGAGCCACCTTCCCAGCCCGAGAGACCTGATTTTTCTATCTGTAAAATTGCTGACAAGTATGGGACCTTAAGTCAGTTGAATTGCCAAATGTCATTATTGGCTACTGGAGGGCAGTAGAACAATCTTTTCTCAGATGAGAGAGCTAAGCCAGGCACCTGTGCTCATGCCTGTAATCCTAGCTTCTCAGGAGGCTGAGATCTGAGGATCACAGTTCAAAGACAGCCCAGGCAGGAAAATCTGTGAGACTCTCATCTCCATTTAACCACCAGAAAACTAGAAGTGGCTCTGTGGCTCAAGTGGTAGAGCGCTCACCTTGAGCTGAAGAGCTGAGAGACAGTGCCCAGGCCCAGAGTTCAAGCCCCGTGACCAAGAAAAAGAGAGAGAAGCCAGAGTGATTGAGGTGTAATTGACAGAGAAGCCAGGGTGCTTTGGCATGTAGCTCAGTGATAGAGAAAATGCATAGCATGCACAAGGTCTTGGGTTTCATCCAGAAAAAGAGAGACAGAATAGGGGAGAGAGGGAGGGAGGAAGGCAGGCAGGCAGGCAGTAACATTAGTATTAAATGCTAGTGTGTGGATAGTAATATTAAAAGCAAATGTGGCCATTATATTAGCATTCATATATTGATATCCACCAAGTGGATATTAATATTAAAGGCCACTGTGTAGATATTGTATTAGTATCAGGAGCCACTGTGTGAATATTAAAGTAGCACTAGAGGTCACTGTGTGGCTGTTATGTTAGTATTAGAGCTCCACTGTATGGATAGCATATTAGTACTACAATCTATATTATGAATATTACATTAGGATTAGGAGCCCACCGAGTGGATATTATAAATCCCTTTGTACAATTAATTTAAACTAATCAATAGTAAATACCAGCCTCTAATGGCTTGTAATCCTAACAACTAAGAACAATAAGAACTAGGGATCACTGTCTAAAGCCATATTGGCAGAATAGTCTGTAAGACTTTTATCTCCAATTAACCTGAAAAAAGCTGGAAATTGAGGTGTGGCTCAAGAACTAGCACTTCCATCTCAAGCAGCAAAAGCTAAGGGATGGTACTCAGGCAATGAGATGAAATTGGGGGTTTGAGGGCTGAATTGGATGAAGTAGAGAACTTTTCACTCCAAATTCCTTTAAGTCTCTTTTGCAGATATCAGCTTCTTCGTTAATATTTGTCATATCTTGCTTAAAAGTCCTTAAAAATCACTCCTGGGACAAATGTGCTGAAGAAGACATATATTTCCCATAACTGAATATACACTCCCCTCCTATCTGCTAGTCCTCTAGCTAGTCCTATAGCGAAATTAAAATTCAGAGAAGGGCAGACCAAAGGCTGCTCTTGAAAGACACTTACTGTACACGAAAGAATAGAGGAACAACGCTTGTTTTCCATGATATGTTACCTTTTTCCTTCCTTTAGCCGGTCTTGGAGCGTGGCCTCGGCCTGGGCGGGTGCGCTTCTTTGCTCCAGGCTAGCGCTCTGCCTTGAGCCACCGCGCCACTCCCGCTAGTTCTGTCCGCGCAGTGCTGGGCTTCGTGCACCGAGCCACTTCCCAGCCCCAAGTACTCGGTTTTTAATTCAAGAACTTACGTTTATCCTCAGCCTCAAGTTGTCGTGTCCCTTGACTCGGTTATTCTGACTGTGGAGCCCCACCAACGGTGTCATTCTATGTGTGAACAGATGCACCCTCTTTGCACGTCTAAGGTCTGAGACACAAGGTCCATCCACGATGAGCAGACACGTGGAGGGAGCCCCCATCCATGCACACGCGGGTGAGGCAGATACAGTACCGAACAGCTGAGTTGGGGGTTCACTGTGCACTCACCTGGATATGTTCCCGCGATCGTGCAATTTCAGAACATACAAGCCGTCGAGACACTTGGGGTTCCGCCAACCACAAAGGAATCCCAGGCTCAGGGTCCTGGGCTCCGGAGCCCACGCTGCTCTCAATACCTGGGTTCGGTGCCCTCAGGGGACAGTCACGGTTCCAGGTTCCCTAGGTAGGCCGTGCTCACCGAGGGCCCTTCTGCACCCAGGTGGTTACAGGTCGCGTCCTCCCCGCGGACGGACGCTCCGGCAGTGCCCACTGGGCTCCGCCCCGCCCCTCCAAGCCACGCCCCCTCGGCCCTCCTGAACTCCGATTGGCCGGGCCTCCCAGGGCGCGGCACTGATTGGCGGCTTGCGGAGAAGCTCGGAGCGCGCGGCCTGGGGTGACGAGCGCCGGGGCAGGCGGAGGCTGACAGGACTCGGCTCCTCGCCGTGCCGCGAACCCTCGCGGGCCTGTGAGACCCGCCGGCGCCCCACTCCCCTCAGACACGGGGACCTTGGCTCACACGCCCTC